TTTTTTACCGTGAGTATATGATTTTGACCCTAAAAATCGAATGGGAATCTTAATTTGGAATGGAGGGAGTATTTTTTACGGAGTATATTTTAGTCTTGTTTTAGTTATTTTCCAAATTCTAAATACATATGAAGTATATTCTTTTTTATTCTCAGTATTTTTTAACTTACTTTTTACAATGTATATTTGTGCGGTTGTACCGACCAAATGTCATTTGTTTTCGGTACAAATATTTATGGATCCGCGACTGGTGCGTGATGGGGCAGTGTTTGTATGACAAATTCAAAGACGAGAGAGAAAAAAGGGATCGGAGATGCTAAGTGCCATTAGCTTGCTATTTACGAACAAAAGTATACTCCAGCGTGGGATAGCCCTTTATTCCTATACGTCTTCTAGCATCAAAAGGAAGGTGGTGAAGTAGTTGCCAAATGCCAATTGTCAACGACAAAGACATTACACCTATGGCCATAACATACTCCGTATAAATAATGTATACGTAGTAATACTCAATTTAAATCACTTATTATTTATGAGGTTAGACTGAAATTATTTTTAATTTAATTTATTTTAAAATTGGTAAAGAATAAAAAATATACTACAACGAAATTAAAATTCTAGAAAGTAAGAAGTGGTAAGAATATATATTTTTATTTTTCAAATTGGTAGCAAAAATGGAAAAAGAATGTAGTTAGAGTTTGACTTTATGAGTACTAAATATGCAAATTAAATTTGAATGGAGAGCGTAATATTTATATATATATATATATATATATATATATATATATATATATATATATATATATATATATATACTCCCTCCGTCCCAAAAAGAATGGGACGGTTTGACTTTTTGGGAAATTAAGGGAGGAATATTTTGGTATTAACTTTCCAAAAATACCCTTGATGTGATGGGTAAAAGTAGGATGTGATGGGTAGATTATTAGGAAAAAGGTATGATGTGATAGGTAAGGTATGAAAAGTAAGGGGTAAAAGTGGTTTTTTAATAGAAATGTAACGGACTTTACGGGACGCAGTTTTTTCTAAACGTAACAAACTTTTTGGGACGGAGGGAGTATATATTACCTCGCTTTCAAAATTATCATTTTAATTTCTTTTTTTGGTCATTTTGATAATAAACTATGATAAAAATATATTTAACTATGGAATTTAATGTACTTTGAATTTAATTAGATTAATTTTAAGTTTATTATTGTTATGTGAAACTTTTTAACATTTAATTATTTAAAACTATATTCCGTCTATAAATTATGATAAAAAAACATAGTCAAATTAAAGTAGTACTCTAAAGACCGATCTCAGGGCCGGTAATGAGAATTCGATGGCCTGGGCCAAGATGAAAAAAGGCTGTAAAGTCTTTATCTCTAATGGTTTAACGAGTTAAGGTGTGTGAAATAATTATATTTAAATGACAACTAACATACTAGCATTATAACAAAATCTGTAAATGACAAAATCATAATAGTGAGGATTTATGCCTACTTACCTCCCCAAACTAATATGTTAAAAATCGGACCAAATATTTACCTAGACGAGCTTGTAGGTCAAGAGCTAATTAGTCGACCCGGGGCTCAACGACCCGGTCAACTATAACTAAAAGAATGATATTTCATACTATATTATACTACATATATTAGAAGTTTTAATTTCAAAAGGAATTTTAATTTGTGTTTTTTCACTCTTCCATCTAGTTTTCAATATAATTTTGCATATAACGTTACACTTTCCATTTTTTTCTAATTACTATTAAAGATAAATAATGAATATCTAATAAATACTAAAATAGTTAGGCAGTATTCATATTTTTAAAAAAGTAAACGTTAGGTAATGTGTTCTTATATAATACCGAGTACTATGTAATTCGAATGTAACACGTCACACTTATATTTAGTTGGTTGAAATGAGAAAAAGTAGAATAAAAAATTAATTTTTATATACTCCGTATTAAAGTTAATTAATAAATTTTTATTAATTTGTATTGATGCCAATATTTTTTTAGGTATTTCTTTTTTGAAAAAAAATTAGGTATAAGTGTTCAAATTAATTTTTAGATAAAACACAAACACTTTTAATTATTTTTTAGAACATTTTAATATAAGTTCATAAAACAAGTATAGATACTACTTATGTTTTTTTCTAAATTACTAGAGGTTTTAATGAAATCAACACATTAGATATATATCTTGTTGCATGACTTTTGAAACGAGAAGTTTAGTAGCTTATGTAGATGAAACATCTTTATACTCCCTCCGTCCCGGAAAACATGGGAGTTTTGGTTTTGGAGAGAGATTTAAGGGGAGTGTATTTTGGTATTGAATTTCCAAAAATGTCCTTTGATGTGATGGGTAAAAGTATGATTTGATGGATAGATTATTAGTAAAAAAGTATAATGTGATAGGTAGGGTGTGAAAAAGTAAGGGGTAAAAGTGACTTTTTAATATAAATGAGAAGTGTTTTTTGGAACGGATTAAAAAAGAAAGAAGAAAGATTTTCTGAGACGGAGGGAGTACATCTTAAAATATTCAGGTTCAAGTCTCACATTACACATTACATTATTTGGTGTCTAAATTTTTAATATATATACAATATATAGAAAAAAATTGAGCACTTCAAAATCAAATTTCACTTTGCGGCATTTTATACCTATGGTATACAAATTACGAGTACTAAATTAGAGTACCCCAAACATTTTTCTAATCTTAAATTCTCAATCTCATCTTGAGTGTACGAATGCTAAGTTGACACTAAGTTGACCTTTGGTCGTTATGAAGTCCACATTGGACACTTGCACATCACCTTCTTCTCTACCACACTTTTATTTTGAAAATTTTGCCTTTTTTTACTCCGGTGTTACCCCAACTTTGAAAGTTTAAGAAAAAAGAACTTCATCTTTGATTAATAAAAAGGTACCTCATCTGTAAAAAAATATTCCATCCGTCTCAAAAAGATTTACACCTTTCAAAAAAATTGTGTCCCACAATCTCCTACCCATTTCTATTAAAAAACCACTTTTACCCCTTATTTTTTCAAACCCTACCTATCACATCATACCTTTTTCCTAATAATCTACACATCACAACTTACTTTTACCCATCACATCAAGAGTATTTTTGGAAAGTCAACACAAAATTATCCATATCTTAATTTCTACTTTAGTCAAAATAGGTAACACTTTATGGGACGGGAGAGTATATAACAAAGAGGTACTTACTCCTAGCTGGATTTTGAAAATCGGACTAGTGAGTGCACACATGGCCATCCACTTGGTTTCCAAATGTACATGTCACATTTTCAATTTGTTATTTGTATTACTCCCTCCGTCCCCTAAGATGTTCTCATTTTGACTTTTGGTGGTTTTTAAGCAGAGTTGAAAAAAGGTAAAAGTTTACCATAATACTCTTAATGAAAATGAGTGGAGTGTATTGAATGAGGTGGGTGAGGTGTAATAAATAAAGTAAGTGGAGGTAATTGTGGTATTTTAATTGTTAAAAAAGGAAATAAGAAGATCTATTGTGGACAAAGAAAAAGGATTATTAGAAAGATCTATGAGGGACAGAGAGTATTTTTTATTAGTACCAAAGATAAATAATAAGTATCTAATACAACTAATATAGTAATGCATACTCATATTTAAAAAAGTAAAGGCTAAGTATTGTATTTTTATATAATACTCCCAAATCCGTATGCAACACTTTACGCTTATATTTAGTTGATTGGAATGAGAAAAGGAAGAAGAAAAAATAATTTTAATATATTAGGCATAATAATCAAATATTTCTTAATTTCTATTTTTTAAACTATTTTTATAAGTTTATTAAACAAGTGTATTAGATACTACTTGTGTTTCGTTTTTAAATAATTATAAGTTTTGTTTAATCAATACAATAAATATATACTCACTCCATCCCTAAATAGATTACAAATTTTTTTTTCTCTCAATTCGATAACTTTTGTTTGTTTACGTGATTTCATTAAGTATTTGATAAAATAAAAAATTCTTGTCACCTCTTGTTTTGTAGAACTTTTGATGTAATTTTTTTAATATGTAATTTTTATATCTTATTGATATATATACCAATTTGTAAATAAATTGATTTCAAAAAATAAAAAATTTTATTCCGTAACCCACAATTTGTAATCTATTTAGGGAAATAAAGAGTATTATATTATGTTTGACATATGCATTGATAAGATTGATAGCTCAAGTGGGTGGAGAACTCTCTTACACTCCATGTGACTCACGTTCGAACCTTTCTCTAGCTCATATTGCGATTTGAAAAAAAATCTCATTGGAAAAGTCTATTTTAGGAATTCAAACTAAAATAACTTTAAGGAAAATGCTAGAGATACACCCCAATATCCCCACCCCTTCTTTATTTACAAAAATAGGCAAGAAAATTAATAAAAATAAGTAAATAAAAATGAATAATTATGAATGGGGCGTGAGACATTTGGGGTACCCCTAGCATCTCCCCAACTTTAATCATATAATCATATCATACGGAGTATATTGCAAGGAAAAATTAGTTTAGAATTAAGCTATGGGTACACCAACATGGGGTACCCCAAGTGTACACTAAGCCAATACAGACACACACAGACACAAAATGTCTGTGCAACACTGTGTTGACTTGGGGTACCCCATATTGGTGTACCCCTAGCATTCTCCATCAGTTTAAGAGGGGGGAGTATCAAACCTTAATTCAAATTTGAATTGGTTTCACTGTGTCCACTGTGCATAACCACTCCAACATCGTTAGCCACTCGTGACGCTTGGGGAGATAAGAAGAGAGAGAGAGAGAGACCCACCAACTGCAGACAAATGCTCAAATCATCACACTACCTTTCTGGGGTTAGTTGGGCCTCGGATGCATTATAAAGTCTAAAGAGAAAGCAACAGCTGAGAGGAGAGCATTTTTAGGGTTGTTGCCCTTCTCGCGCTACCTGCTCCGTAAATTCCCAATCTTTTCAATCCATTTCCATTGAATGCAGTTTGACTGCAGATTTTTAGACACCCCACTCCCCTCACTTCTCAAGGGTCGCCCTCATTCTGCAAAAGTTTGAGTCTTTTTTTGTTTATGTTCATGGATGAACCTTCAACCGGGTTAGATCTCTGACACCAAATCCAAATGTGGGTTTTTTTCTATAGAAAATTATTGCTCTCATTTTCTTGTTTTGGACCTGGTTCTGCATGGTGCTGGGGTGTTCTGTGAGATCTAAGGGTCTGTTTGGTTGTAGATTCTTGACCTGAAGCTTCTGCTTCGCCAAGTCCAACTGCTACTTTCTGTGGAATAGCCCATCTGCATTTCTTGGCCTTTTAAAACTGAAGTCTTTCTGAGTGAGGTGAGACTACTATTCTTGTGGTTGGGATGAAGTTAATTAGGTTTTTGGTTTTTGCTGGTTGGTTCGTTTTTGCTGTCGGCCAGCTTCCTTCCCAGGACATTTTGGCTCTACTTGAGTTCAAGAAAGGGATTACACATGACCCTACTGGCTATGTGCTTCAGTCATGGAATGAGGAGTCCATTGACTTCAATGGCTGCCCTTCCTCTTGGAATGGTATAATGTGTAACGGCGGTAATGTTGCTGCCGTTGTTCTTGAGAATTTGGGCTTATCCGCGACTGTGGATTTCGACGTGTTCTCTAATCTCACAAAGCTTGTCAAACTCTCATTGGCAAACAATTTGATTTCTGGGAATTTTCCTGAGAAAATCGCAGGGTTCAGAAGCTTAGAGTATCTTGATATTTCTGACAATCTGTTCTCCTCGTCTCTACCACAAGACATTGGAAAGTTTGGGACTTTAAAGAATCTTTCGGTCTCTGGCAATAACTTTTCTGGTTCAATTCCAGATGAAATTACCGGGCTGACCTCAATTCAGTCATTGGATTTGAGCCGCAATTCGTTTTCTGGGCCGGTTCCATCCTCCCTAACCAAGTTATCAGGCTTGGTATACCTTAACCTATCCATGAATGTGTTAACCAAGAGCATTCCCAGAGGATTTGAGGATATGGAAAAACTTGAGGTGTTGGACTTGCATGGTAATAGGCTCGAGGGCCATTTGGATCCAGAGTTCTTAATGCTCACAACAGCAACTCATGTTGACCTTAGTGGAAATCTGCTTGTGAACTCTGCTTCTCAGAAGCGGCCATTGTTGCCACGTATTTCTGAGACTGTCAAGTACTTGAATCTTAGCCATAACCAGCTTAATGGGTCACTCCTAAGTGGTGGGGGTGAAGCACAAGTATTTGGGAACTTGAAGGTTTTGGATTTGAGCTACAATCAACTCTCTGGGGAATTACCCGGATTTGACTTTGTATATGATCTCCAGGTTCTCAAACTGAGCAACAATAGGTTTTCCGGATTCATCCCTAATGATCTTCTCAAAGGGGATTCTCTTGTTTTGACAGATCTGGATTTAAGTGGCAATAACCTCACAGGTAAGTTGCTGTCTTTTTCTTTTCTTTTCTTTCTTTTTATTTTGAATTAAAAACTGCTGCTTCTGTTTTCTTGAGAAGTGTAAATGAAATCTTTGGGATTGTTAATCAACATAAATAATGTTCATTCTGCAGGAAGAATTGGCATGATAAGATCCACGACTCTGACTGCTCTTAACCTATCCTCTAATGCACTCTCTGGGGAACTTCCATTAGTGACAGGAAGTTGTGGCGTGCTTGATCTCTCCAAGAACCAGTTTGAAGGGACTCTCTCCAGACTGAAGAAATGGGGAAATGTTGAATACCTTGATCTAAGTCAAAACCGTTTGTATGGGGCCATCCCGGAAGACACTGCCCAATTCATACGCTTACATCACCTCAACCTTTCCCGAAATGCCCTCAACAGTTCTCTCCCAAATGTAATCACCCAGTTCCCTAAACTCACACAGCTTGACCTCAGCTTCAACCAGTTAACTGGACCTCTTCTCACTGCTCTTCTGATTTTACCTAATCTTGAAGAACTTCATTTGCAGCACAATTCGTTCTCTGGAGCCATTGGCTTTTCTCCCCCACCATCCGGTGGATCAAACCTTCACGTTCTTGATCTTTCCCATAACCGGTTTTATGGGCTTTTTCCTGTTGGGCTTGGGTCATTTCTAACAAGGCTTCAAGTGGTTGATGTATCAGAGAATGATCTCTCCGGTTTGCTTCCCTCTTCAATTGGCGACATTGTTGGTCTAAGTTCTTTGGATGTTTCGCACAATCGTTTCACTGGTCCTTTGCCAGCAAACCTTCCCACTGATACCCTTCAAAGATTCAACGCATCATTCAATGGTTTCTCTGGAACTGTCCCGGAGAACTTAAGAAAGTTTCCATTATCGTCCTTCTACCCTGGAAATTCAGATCTAGATTTCCCTAATGGTCGTCCGGGTTCAGCCCAATCTCCTTACGGAACCCACAAAAAGAAACCAATAAAAACTCTGATTAAAGTGGTAATCATAGTTGCATGTGTGGTTACTCTTCTAGTCTCAGTCTCAATTTGCTTTCTTCTATGCTACATTCACAAAACAAGAAGGAACAAAGATGTTCACCTCCAGGCCATCCCAAATCCTTCTGATTTTAGCAGAAGAGAGGGTGCTGCTGGCAATGTGGTGGTTTCTGCAGATGATATTGTGACCTCACGAAAGGGAATGCCATCGCATATCATTAGCCCCGATGAGAAAATGACGGGTTTATCCCCATCTAAGACCAGCCATTTCTCTTGGTCACCAGACTCCCGAGATTCATACGCTGCTGAAAACTTTGCCAGGTTGGATGTTAGCTCACCCGACCGACTGGCTGGTGAGCTCTATTTCCTTGATGATGTCATCACATTTACACCAGAGGAACTTTCGAGGGCCCCAGCCGAGGTATTGGGCAGAAGCAGCCATGGGACGTCGTACAAGGCAACCTTAGACAATGGGTTGCTTCTCACTGTCAAGTGGTTGAGAGAAGGGGTGGCAAAACAGAGAAAGGAATTTGCCAAGGAGGCCAAAAAGTTTGCCAATATTCGACATCCAAACGTCGTGGGATTGAGAGGGTATTATTGGGGTCCCACTCAGCACGAAAAGCTGATTCTTTCTGATTACATTTCTCCTGGAAGTCTAGCAAGCTTCCTCCATGGTAACTTATCATACTTCAAGCCTTTTTGTTTAGTATTCCTCTACTTTTGTTCGTTTCGGATGGAGTTCTAATTGAATTTGAATGTGCAGACCGACGCGTGAGAAAAGGGGCATCCTTAACATGGCCCCAAAGGCTAAAGATAGCAGTGGACGTTGCGCGTGGGCTGAACTATCTCCATTTTGACAGAGAGGTCCCACATGGGAACCTCAAGGCAACAAACATACTGCTGGATGGAGTTGACCTCAATGCAAGGGTTGCTGATTACTGCCTCCACCGCCTCATGACTCAATCTGGAACGGCCGATCAGATTCTTGATGCAGGAGCGCTGGGGTACCGGGCCCCAGAGCTGGCTGCTTCCAAGAAACCACTCCCCTCCTTCAAGTCAGATGTTTATGCCTTTGGGGTTGTGCTTTTGGAGCTGCTGACCGGAAAACGTGCAGGGGATGGGGTGGTGGGCTCTGGGGAAGGAGACAGTGGGAGGGGTGTTGATTTGATGGATTGGGTGAGGTTGAAGGTGGCGGAGGGTCGCGGCGCTGACTGTTTTGACCCTGGGGTTTTGCCGGAGATGGGGAATCCGGCGGTGGAGAAACAAATGAAGGAGGTTTTGGGGATGGCATTGCGCTGCATACGCTCGGTGTCCGAGAGGCCGGGTATCAAGACTATCTATGAAGACCTCTCATCCATATAGTGTGGGATGTGATGAGGTATTACTATTTGTTATTATTAGCTCTCTCTCTACTAGTCATTTAGACATTTGTAACTTAGCTTCTTTGGGGATCAATTAGCTCATTGGCCTCCTCTCTTTTTCTTTTTTTTTAGTAGGAAGGAATGTTGGTGTGGATGAACTGATTTTGTTGCATGTATATTGGAGTTGTGCTTCAACTCCCTTTCTTTACACATCAAGGATCTACCAAGCCCCAAGTGCCCATACATTTGGGGTGGGCACGATTCTTGAGGGTCTGTTTGGAAATGTTTGGAAATCAGGAAAGTAATTTCTAGAAAATGAGAGATTTTTTCAAGTCATTTTGTATTTGATTGAAAGTCACAAAATCGTCTATTTTGGTTGAAAATGGCAAAAACATCTATTTTGACTTCCATTGACCAAAGCTCTTATATCTTTTGACTTCTATTTTCATATGTTACCAAACACAAAAAATGAGGAAAATGATTATACAAAACTCCATGCTGCTATAAGGTAGGTATATAAAGTTTGTAACAAAACTCCATCTCACGAACAGGTGACACAGGTAACATCACATATGGCTATTTGAACCTCCATTGAGAATACTATGTAATGAAAACCAGCCAAAAAGACACATCAAACATTTTAATCCCTTTCTTCTTCTTCTTCCCCCTCGTAGTATTCATCATCGTCGGCAGTTGCATCCTGGTACTGTTGGTATTCAGCAACCAGGTCATTCATGTTACTCTCGGCCTCTGTGAACTCCATCTCATCCATTCCTTCACCCGTGTACCAATGCAAGAAGGCCTTCCTCCTGAACATGGCTGTGAACTGCTCGCTCACGCGCCTGAACATCTCCTGGATTGAGGTCGAATTCCCAATGAAAGTGGATGCCATCTTCAGACCCTTTGGAGGGATGTCGCAAACACTGGACTTCACATTGTTTGGGATCCACTCCACGAAATAGGACGAGTTCTTGTTCTGGATGTTGATCATCTGCTCGTCGACTTCCTTGGTGCTCATCTTGCCGCGGAACATGGCTGAGGCGGTCAGGTAACGGCCGTGGCGAGGATCGGCGGCACACATCATGTTCTTGGCATCCCACATCTGCTGGGTAAGTTCAGGGACAGTTAGGGCTCTGTATTGCTGTGACCCTCTAGAGGTCAAGGGCGCAAACCCAACCATGAAGAAGTGGAGGCGAGGGAATGGGATTAGATTCACTGCCAGTTTCCTAAGGTCAGAGTTGAGCTGCCCGGGGAACCGAAGGCAGCACGTGACACCACTCATGGTTGCAGAAATAAGGTGGTTTAGATCACCGACTGCAACACCATCAATCATTTAACATTTAGAAAAAAAGGGGGGGCAAAATTAGTATCCAATTGCAGTTAAATGGAAGAACTTACAAGTGGGAGTTGAGAGCTTAAGAGTTCGGAAGCAGATGTCATAAAGAGCCTCATTATCAAGAACCATACACTCATCTGCATTCTCAACAAGCTGATGAACAGAAAGTGTGGCATTGTAAGGCTCAACAACTGTATCAGATACTTTTGGCGAAGGGAAGACCGAGAATGTCAACATCATACGATCTGGATACTCCTCCCTGATCTTGGAAATAAGTAGGGTGCCCATACCAGACCCCGTTCCTCCACCCAAAGAATGACAAACTTGGAATCCTGTTTATTCAAAGCAAAGAAGAAACAAGCATATAGAATGCCCATTACTAAATAGAAGATACTTTTATCACCTGGAATGAAAACACCATTATCTTAAAAGGCCAAGATGCAAAGGATGATACAGAAGAACATACAGTCAAGACATAGCCATATGCGAAATGAAAAGCTCCAAATATAATCCATTTAAAGTTCACTAGTAAGGATATTATTGTCTGATGATGTGATTATACAAATTTAAAATTAAAATATATAAAGCATTATGAAACATCACAAATAAAGTAGGTTATGTATAATTTTTAATTCTACTCAACAATCTCAAACAATATATTAGACAAAGGGCATGTTTGGGAATAACATTAGACGACGTTAGCATTAACATTTTGAAAAGGCTATCTACGGGCAACGTTTAGCGTTAACGTTTTCAAGTTAATCTGCACCGTTAGAATTTTATCCAAAACGCTAATGCTAATCGAAAACGCCAATCCTAAACCAGCCCAAAAATAAGAAACAATCTCCCAAACAACGCCAAGTCCTTTGAAAGTTTAACCTTTTCATGCCAAGTGAAAGAAAAAAAAATACGGAGTAAAGCATAAGAAAGTAAACCAAAAACAGACCAGAAGAAATGAATGATTACTCCTTAGCAATCCATACAATTCAAAAAAAAAAAAAAAAGGAGAAAAAAAAAGCAAGAGAAGAGAGTGACCTTGCAGGCAATCGCAGTTCTCAGCCTCCTTGCGAACGACATCTAGAACAGAATCAATGAGCTCAGCGCCCTCGGTGTAGTGTCCCTTGGCCCAGTTGTTGCCGGCGCCGGACTGACCGAAGATGAAGTTGTCGGGGCGGAAAATCTGGCCGAACGGACCGGATCTGACGGAATCCATGGTTCCAGGCTCGAGATCCATGAGGACAGCCCGGGGGACGAAGCGGCCGCCGCTGGCTTCATTATAGTAAACGTTGATGCGCTCGAGCTGGAGATCGGAGTCTCCGGTGTACTTGCCGGTGCGATCGACGCCGTGCTCGTCGCAAATGACCTCCCAGAACTTGGATCCGAT